CAACCATAAGCCCCCCCCCCCCAACACCATGCCTGCTAGACCATGTCCCTAAGCACCTCCTCTACATGCTTCTTGAACACTGCCAGGGATGGTGACTCCTCTGGGCAGCCTGTCCCAATGCTTCACCAGTCTTTCCATGTAGAAATTCTTCCTACTATCTAACCAGAACTTCCCTTGCACCCAGTGCACCTTGAGGCCATTTTCTATTGTCCTGTTCTGCCTCACTACAGCCTCCCTTCAGGTAGTTGTAGAGTGTGATAAGGTCTCTCCTCTTCTCCACACTAAATAACCCCGCACTCTCAGCCACTCCTCATAAGGTCTGTGCTCCAGCCCTTTCCCCAGTTTCACTGTCCTTCTCTGGACAGGCTTCAGCCCCTCCCTGTCCTCCTTGTAGTGAGGAGCCCAAAACTGAACACAGGATCCAAGGTGCAAGGAATGTGCACGCGTATGTGCACAGCACTCAGAGAAATAGCACAAAAACGCTAACTTTCACTCTGCTTTTGGGTTGTGGCTCCCACGAGAGCTTATTTGCCAGCACCGAAAAGCAGAGCCTCGCACATGTGATGCCCACCGCTATGTCCCCGTTTAAAGAACCTTCATTGCCAGCAGGCCCGTGGGGGCTGTGTCCAGAGGCTCCCTAGGGATGGAGGCAGGAAGAGGAGCACAGCTGCACCAACCTGTCTGCACCTTGGGGTGCCTATGCTGGCCACCTCTATAGTAGGAGTCACAAGGCACAGAGCAACTTGAACCTAGGAAGAATCTGTCAGAGCTGGCTTCCCCTTTCTTATTATTTGTTCCTGATCAAAATAGCTTAGTCACTAATCCCTAAATTTTAATAGTTATAATTAGATATATTGATTGATTGCAGGTCAGCTGCTGCAGGAAACAGAAATTCAGAGATTCATTAAGGAGAAGAAGCAGGAAGAAGAGGTAACAGTTTTCTTCGCAATGCTAAAAACAGTTATTAATTTTTCTTTAAACTCAGCCTTAACAGGCTCTTAAATAAGGACACTTTTTTTTAATTGTTGTTGTTGTTGCCTCTGTAGTTTATATCATTAATTAATTCCCATGGGCCAACTCAAACTACTCACCTTGTTTTCCCGATTAATAAGATTCTTTCCATTTCACTTACCCTACAAATAACTGGAAGGTTAGAAGCTGTATTATGCTTAGAACCTTGCAGCCTCCTTGCTGTCAGATCATACATGCACAGACTTCACAGGGCATAATGCAGCCGTGCGCTGCTTGTCAGCATTAGGGGTTGGCATCACCAAAGTACCAGCTAGGGATTGTGCACCTACAGGGAGCAGACAATAGGTGCTTCACAATAGACAAAACAGGAGTGTATGTATGGCTTTACATACTTACACCATCACTTGTCTAGTTAACATAATATTCAATATTAGTTACTTCTGTGCTTGGGTGAGCCAATCTGAATATAACTTGCAGTGATTTAATCTTCAATTATGTTTTCATGCTTTACACAACCACTAACCAATTCAGGCTTGTGATTCTTGGTATGAAAGAATTAGACTAATTTACCTTTGCAGTACAGGAGAGCATGAGGCAGCGTGCTGAGATAATCTCACTACTGACACTTTTCTTCACTTGTTCTGCATAGATGTTCAGGCCCCACATATTTGTTACACAATACTGATGCATTTTCAGAAAAATCAAAGGTGTAATCATTAGCATTCATGAGTTGTATAACAACTTTTTAAATATTAAGAATGATAAAAAAATTTGCACAGTAGCACAAAAATATATTCTGTAGAGTCTATCTGGAATACATTTTTCTTTTATTCTTTTTCCTTAATCAGAAGCTGTTTCGCACAGGAAGCACAATAACTTACATTTAAGAAAGCCTTTTCTGTAACTATGCTCCTTTTTTTTTTTTTTTTTTCCCCTCAGTGTCTAGGTGCAGCAGTACACTTATAGGTGGTGTGATACTGTCACACTATTATCTAGCACTTTAAAGGACAGTATCTGTGTAATAAAAAAATGGAATATTGACTATCACTATATACAACTGGGGCTTGAAGCACCACCTATTTGGAAATGGACAAAACTAACAAACCATCAAGTATCTAAATAAAACTAGTTGATTACACTTTAAAACTTTTGCACATCCCAGCATATTGTTAGAAAACTGCATAGTCCTTCCTTTCAAGGAACAGAGACTGCGATTCGTATTTCAGAGCTGTTGAGGTCATTCTTGGATGTACTGATGCCTTACAAGGGGTGCATCAAAGATGTGGTGGCTTTGCCCCCACAAAATGGGTTAGCAAAACTGCCTTGGGCAGTGGGGGGCACCTCAAAAGTTCACAGACATCCACAGATTGCCGACCGTTTGGAAACTTTCTCTAATTTAGCTTCTTTTCAGTTTTCCTCATGAATACGTGGACACAGTATGGAACCAAGGCAACTACAGTAAGTGGTATGGCTGCGCTCTTGCAAAAAGAAAGAATGTAGAATAAATACTCAGTATGAGTAGGTATCTTAACGAAGTTATACAGCTGCAGAGTAGCTAAAGAAACAGCTACACACAGCAGCCGGAAACTTTTCTTACAGCTATTTTTACCTTTGCAGCTTGTGATGAACATTTCAGAATTAATACCAAGGCCTAAGCCAAAGAGTGCACCTAAATTTCTCACGAGTCCAGCAAATGGAGTTGTGTCAATGTTTATCCAGTCTGGGTTGGCACACCACTTCTTTGCCTTTGGAACAGACCACAGCAAGTCAATATCAAGAAATCTGAGGACTAGATAAAAGCCAAGGGCAAAGATGAAAAGAAACAAGTTTATCTTGATGTACATTCTCAAGCTTGCTGTCTGTATAGCAGGAGTGTGCTCAAATGCTTCGGCCACAAGCATTCCTGGGGAGCAGAAAGTCAGTGTTACAGAGAACATCATACTGGCCAGAAGCACTTTTTAACGGTCTCACTGTAGAATTCAGTTAGACAGAAGAATATCCACATCCACATGACCACTTCCATGGTAAATGACAAAATATTTTTCTCCCACTCAAAGCTGCTATTTTGGAAAACAAACAAACAAACAGAAAACAAGATACCAAACTCTACATGTTTTTACCATGAGAAATGCCTTCGGCCTGCCTGCATCTCCCAGATGCCAGCCTATCAAGTATTAAACATGAAGTAGAACATTTTCTAGATGAGTCTCCATTCAAAGGCTGGTCCTGGCTATGTAGATTTCAACAGCAGTTCCTACATGGACTTTAGATGTTGAAGGAGAAGACACAGAACGGAAGACTCAGACTATTCATAAACCTAAACTCCTTAAATACCAATTGGAAACATGTTTAATTCTGGAAATTATATTTGGGGATCTTAAATCACTGGGAGGATCATACTGCTAATATGGCTTTTTATCTGTTTTGACCCAGGTTTCTGGCCCCCTGCTCACCCACACCATCAGTTTGCCCCTGCGCTTTATTTGAAGTGAACCAAGGAATTTCCTCCTGAGAGGAACATGCGAGCTGCAGTCTCTGCTCCAGGGTCCTGCCCTGCAGCACAGATGTACTCTAGCAGATATGCAGGGCAGAGGCAGCCAGGGCAGCCGCTCGCACCGGGCTTTAACACGGTCAGCATCAGCTGGCACACGGCCAGGGCTCCCTGGCCCTGCGAATCGCAGGCACGGCAGCTGCCTAACGCTGCCTTGCCGTTTGCCTTTATGCTACCATCAAATCCTCATCTCCAAGATAGCACAGAACACCACGACAGCTGCAGCTTAGCAGCACTTCTAAAATACGCCAACCAACTAAACCAACCAAAAATACAAAAACAACCCAAAACAAAAAACAAACAAATCGGAACATTACCAGCAAATACTCCAAGAATAACTTGATGAGGGAAATGTGTTGCTATGAATACTCTTGAGATACACACACTGATCTGGATAATCCAAAAAACAGTCCAGAGGAATGACCATGTCAGTCTGAGAGAGAAAAGGAAGATGTTCAAAGAAGTAAGAACAATGAATCATACTGATCCCCTATTCTTATTTTCTTATTTTACCGCTTTCCTTATTGCACCAGGCTCATAATTTTAGGTTTAGAAGTGCAAAAGATTAGACCTGGCTGATTTAAATTTGGAAATCAGTACTAAAATATTAGCGAGCGCAGTTGATTTTATCACCACAACCAGGGCAGCAGGAAGGGACCTCAGTCATTTAGGGCCTGTGAAGCTATCATGTCTTAGCAAAGTAAGGCATCAATAGCAAGCTATATTAGTATTACTAACCTCCATAAAGCCTATTTAAACTGAAAAGATCATCAGTTTGGTCACAAACTTATGGGAACAACCTTGTTAAACCACCAAAGCAGTAACAAGAATTCCTCACAGAACTACAGCTAGTGAAGTCTGCCAGCATTTTGTGCTGTTGCTTTAAAACAGGATAAGAATGACTACTAGGAAAACAGAAAATTTATGTACTAGCCAAAATCTCAAACAAATAAAGACAATTAATAGAACTCAAGCTTTCCAACATTAAAGACCTATTACAGCCTTTAATAGGAGTTGAATCGAGATTATATGATTATATAAGATGAAAATATTACCTTATAAACATTCATATCCTCCTTCATAATTTTTCTCCAGGTGAAGCAAATCATAATGAAAGTATTTTTACAAATGGAGAAAAACAGTCTGAGGACAGTTAGCTATATAACTCCATTAAAAATATAGCATGTATATAAAAAAAAATCTGTATATGTGTATGAGAATAATGAGACTGACCTGTGAAGGGTAACTGCTGATTTATCTTTCCATCCTACCGTGTAGCTGAGTGCTGCTGTGACCATTACATACCAGACACAAGAAGATCCCATCGCATGCCCAGATGGACTTCCTAATAAAAACAAAAATGAAAAATTCAGGCTTAAAAATGATGACTATAACATCTAACTCATAGAAAATATCTATTAGCAGTTAGCACATAATCATTTAAAACGAAAATGCTTAATAAGGCCTGAAAGAACATCAACTGTTTCTCAAAAGCTTATTCTATTATGTTTTTTTTTTTTTCAGAAAACTAATCTACAGGAAATACAGAATGAGTCAGCAAATGAGTCAGTAATGATTATCTCATATTTTTTAGCTGGCACATACCTTGGAAAGCATAGTATTTTTCCATGATTTTGATCTGGATTATGATTTTAAAAATAGGCCATCTAGTTGTTACTTGGCTATTAATGCATTTATAACATTATCATGTCTATACAGCTTTAATTATTTTTATTTTTTCCCCAGAGAGTCATAGGAATATAAAAAAAAACAATGGACTGACAATTTGAGTAATATGTATTTCCTCTTCAGGAACACGCTTATAGGGAATATGTGAAACCATGCAGTTATGTCTTCCCTAAACCTCAGGTTATGGCATACCTCAGCTAATTGTGGGCAAAGATATCTTGATAAATTTGAGTGCCACAAGCCTAATTTAACAAATACTAGTGCTGAAACTTGAGCTGATCTAAATACTAGACTCCTGCTAGCGCTGTAGTGTACAATGCAGACTTTAAATTCGAGGCTCTGAATAGGCTACCTCATAGTTCAGGGGAGCAACAACTGTCTCTCTGTGATACTCTTAACTTACAGCACCAGCACAACTTCAGTTGTCCCCTCAAACCTGCCCTCTATCTGCTTCTCCAATTATGAAGTCTTTTGCAACCGGTATTATGATTAATGTCTTATTACAGTCCAGAAAATTCACATTCTTCTGTAATTCTGTAATAAACTAAGAAATGTACTTGAAACAGATAGATCTGTGTTAATTTATATTTAAATTATTTATTTTACAAAGTTTAAAGCTAAGTTTGCACACAGGTTATCCACAGACCCAGCAGCAGGCAGTGATGCCATAATACACTGGTGTAAATGGTCTATCCATGCTGTTCTATAAGAAGGAACACATGATCAGCACATAGCCAGTTCTTCTTTTTCCAGCTATAGTAATGGATGGTGTCATTTATTTTAATTTAGTGAGGCAAATTTTCATCATACTAGAAGCAATATGAAGCAGTAGAGAAGTTTCTGTATCTGTGAAAAAAAACTCTGAAAACTAAAGTGCTGTTGGCATGATGTAAAGGAAGTGATTCCTATAATTACTGTCACTTCTTTACACTGATAGGAGGGGCTATGTTTCACCCTGCTCACATTAATAAATAAATAAATAAATTGAAATTTGCTTGTATCAGACTATTTCAGCTTGGCTTTCGGCACAGACAACAGAAAAATAAAGAGACAGGGTTATTTCACTGGCAGAAGAAGCCATTTTGGCTGAAGAAACTGTTGTGACACAATGTTATGGACACAGATTGCAAAGCAGAAAAATATTTTAGCAAAGCAGCAAAACAGAAATATCTAGGGAAGATGGGCACAATGACTTCCAGCTACCCACACTTATTTTTGGTAATCTGTTAAGAAATTTCTTTAGTAATTGGGTTAGCAATTTTTCTAATTTTGTAACAGATATGCGTGATGACCTCAAAAAACACAAAACAAATTTCACTGATAAACAAAGCATAACATATATCAGTGTTAGAAAAGCTTCTTTACTGTTGTTGTCAGAACTTCAATAGAAGTTCTACATATCTGCATCTATATACCAATAATCTATATACCAATTTGCTTATCTGCAAGTTGCCTACCATAAGAAGCATAAATTCTACCCTGGGGTTTATGTCTTGAAACATTAAAAATATCAGAGAAATGAGAGCTGCGGGGTTTTGAAACAGTTCATTATAGAAATAGCAACCAAACTGAGGTCCTGGCTTGCTTACCAGGTGGTCATATAAACACTCCCCTCAGCTCTCCCTTTGTTCAGCTGCAGTTCGTATTTTATGTGTTTTTCTCATGCCTGTGAGTGCTTTCTAATCTTTTCATACAAACTGTATATGTAAACGTGTGAAATACCATGTAGGTGATTGCACTCACGCTGCATTAGTGAGGAACAAGTGTGATAGATAACAGTCCATGGTCAATAACAAAAATGGAGGCAGGAGAAAATATGGTCATTTTAAGTGCAAATAGGGAATTGATAAGACAGTGGTACCCCTTGGATGGAAATAAGAATGGCTTGTTACTTAAGGAAGACACTTTTCTCTCAGTTAATCAGAAGGGAACATACTGACAGGGTCCTAAAGCGGGGCATGGAATTACATAGTGCAAATGGTCTCAGTTCTAAAGTAATTTGAAAAGATCTAGAGCACCTTAACACTGTGGACCAGGCCCCAAAAGAGTTCACAAGAAAGGCAGAGAATAAATCCCTAAGAGCTGACTAGAGAACATGCATGCTGCAGGCATCACTACACCCTGTCTGATACAAGGGTTTATGCTTCTTGTTTGAAATTACAATGGGTTATAATGCAAGACATCGTGAACAAAATGCAGCTCTGCCATCTGCCTAAAAGCATGCCATGAATTAAATTGTCTGGAAGTTAACTGACTGAGTATAGTTTACCTAAGATATTAGGGCTTCATATGTTCATTTCAGACTTCAGCAGTATTACATTGGAGTTCCACAAAGACGACAATAAGATACAAAAAGGTAATGTAACTCAAAATGAAAAGGTACATTTAAAGTATACATATATACATATATATGTATGTAACTTTCTGCTAACCATGTACACACACACATTCAGTGGCAATGTCCAGTTGCCAATGCAGCAACCAAATAGTTACCATATTTTATGTTTTCCTTTTTCTCTTCCTGTGTTTTGATACTGTTTTAAAAATAAGCTCTATGTACATCATTTAAGATCTTTGTAAATCACATCCTGCCCAGAACCAGCCACTCTCCTTGAGTGCTTCTATCCGCATTATTTGCATCCATGTAATGTCCAGCATGTCTTACCTGGCCCAGTTTCACATGTGATAGGAAACTGTTCAAGGCATGGGCTTGACTGATTGGGATAAATCATTGTTTCTTGTACCCACCAGTATGGACGGTGACCAAATAAAATCCTAAAAAAAAAAAAAAAAGGCACAAACTCAGTAAAAAGAATTTTATGTAAGAAAGCCACAGCAAAGCATGACAAATAATCTTACAATGAATATACAAGAACTACATGGTTGAAGCCATCCTTTAACTGGTCTTCAGGTTCTTCTCTTATCAAAATTTCATTTCAAATATATCTTAAACATCTCTAACATACAGTCACCATCATAAGAAATACCAAATTTGAAAATAAAGAGAACTTCTTACCATTTAAATATGAGGTTGAACCAATCACCAATGACTGCCACCCATATCATTTTAGTACCAACTACTTGATTGAGCTGAAACCAAAGAGGAAAATAAATTGAGAATATATTCCGGGGATCACCAACATGTGACATGAAATTAAGGAAGTCCTGGTAAGCCCTGTAATCCTTCTGTAAATGCTGGATGATAAGCACCCCATTGCTATGGAGGAGATCCATCTTAAACTGATTAAACTGTAGTTGAAATTTGGTAAAGTTCCTTTAATCTTAAGTTTCAAATGAGGGAGAAAGAGAACCATGGAAGGGAGCTATTAAAAAATGAGAGAAAGTGATTGACGTTGCCTTTATATTGTATCAGAGTGGTGTACCCAGCCATTCCCGGAACATGTGACTCCAAATCTCCAGGAAAGCACATGTCTCTTAACACTGGAAAGCTTTTCTGTTTGCAAATTTTAATTGGAGGAAACCAAGTGAGCTACATGCTGATCAGCAGCAAATTGTGGGGAAAGTTTTGTGGAACCACAATGCATGACTTACGCAAGCCTTTGTATGAACAGTTGGAACTTGTTTGCTTGAATTTTTTCACAGTTCATTTCTCGTCAGGATGGATATTAGCAATGTGTATACTTGATTAAGTGTTGCCTGCCTAAAGGATAAAAAGAATACACAAATAATTGGTCTTTGCAGAAGTGTCACTGAAACTGTACATGTTAATTTGAAATACAGTTTGGCCACCATGCTAATACACATCTCAGTAATGAAAAATGCAATCACCATCCATACATCAGAAATGCTGTTGAATACTACATTTATTAAAGCACCGATCTTCTCAAGCCGATGGAAAGTAATCATTCCCCTCACACAAGAAGCCATGCTAGCACAGAGCCCACTGCAGATTAAGTTACTGAAACCCCTCACTCACTGTTACCACTTGCACATTGCAAGTGCTGCCAGGAGGACCTGGCGCTGACCCGCAATCCCCTCCGCTCTCCACAGCCCAGCAGGAAGGAGACCTGTGCAGCACAGAGCAGCGGGAAGGAACAGATGCTCATGAGCATTTCCATGAAGGATTTCCAAGTGAAGCACCTGGGGTCTCCAGGATGAACAGGCAAGAAAATCTCAGGAGGAAATTAAGATTCTGCCTGATAGTGAGGTGATAGGAGTAGGCAGCAAAAATGATGAGGCTACACACTGAACATAGGGGGGAAAGTTTGTTTCAAAAAAAAAAACCAAAAGTGAAGATTCTGAGGTTTTCTTCTATTTTTTCTTTCCAGTTTATAAGTTGCTGTAAATACTAGTGCAAACATCAGATCAGTTCATTGCAGATTAAAAGGCCTCCTTATTTCTAGTACTTAACTAATACAGCAACTGGTGTTAGATAAACCTAAGTATTGCTCAGTTATGAAAAGTATTTGAAAACAAGTGGACTTCCATCAAGATAAAGTTAATGTCCTCACAAGAGACCAGCAAGTACTCAGGTCACCTTCCAGTACCTTTGTTTAATGCCACCATTGACATTTAGTAGTATCAGGAAAATTGCCTCTCTAACACAAGATACATGGGACCTCTTCAATAACTTTTTATTTTCTTACACTAGTTATGAATATAAAAATGCCCACTCATATCACCCACTTGGCTAGTGCTGTATCTGCTTAGCCTGAGCTCACTTCAGGCAAAGTATTCAAACACAGTAAAACATTTAGAAGTAGATGCTGGCAATACCTCTATAAAGTCACCCCTTTAAAATAGATACTATGGGTGTCATGATACTGATATTCATGTTAAAAGTTTCACTATTGATTAATATGCTGCTGATTATATTTCTGCTTAGATAGAACAATAAACACCTTACATATAATGTGCACACACAAAAACGCTCTTAGCTAACAGCAAATATATACATTTGCTTTATTTTTCTTATGTTTTGACTGTTTCAGCAACTTTTATGCAGAGACATCCAAGCCATCATATTTCTGAAATCTATCCCAAGGATAAAATCCCGTAGCTCTAGAGCAGAAAGCAGAAGGATGTGGGACTGATCACCGGTAACATGGGAGAGGCAGGTAGGGACACCGATGTGCCTGGAAGCACTGGGGATCACACTTCATTCAACAGGCATGCGGCAGCGTGACATCTAAAGTCTGTCACACTAAAGACCTTCTGAGCTCTAGGAACCACCAGAGAAGAGATGAAGAAACACATTTTGAAATGCTAGATTCAAAAAAGGTAAACTCTAAAGTAAAAACAGGTAAACTCTAAAAAGGAGCAATTACTTCCTTCATAGCTTTTCTCCCCCACCTCCTTTCCCTCATTCAGCATTGCAACTATAATGCACTCAGTCTTTTGAGGTCACTTGGGATTATGTATGAAGCAAAACTATATTTTCTGTATTTTATTAAGGGAAATTGCAAGGAAAACTAATGGCATTTATAAAATGGTCAGAATATATATGCAAGTAAGTTTTTAAATCAAAGGTTTTGTCTTATTTTCATATGATAAAACAAAGATTTGGTCTTTACATGATCAAATGAATTCTTAGTGGAAGGCAAAATGTTTTGAAATAACAACTGCTCGTACAAAGAATTTTTATTTAACTGATAGTTACTGATTTATTTTCCAAGACATGTAAAATCGTAGCCTGCCCAGCAGTCTCTATACTCTTGGTAATAATTTAGAAACAGAAATCATGTTGATGAACCACGGAAGACAGGATAAAATGTTTACAGCTACTTTGCACCTACAGATCAAATATTACATAACTGCTATCAGATGTTGCTAAGCAAATGTTTGCAAGGGAAGGAAAACCTATCAAAGCAAACATTTTCTAAAACCCTGTTAATGGAGACCTATGTATTATGCCTGCCTTTCTGGTACATTATGTTTTGTTAATTGACCAATAACATTAATTCTGTCATTGTTTTCATTGGCGCTGGACCAACTACAACAATTAACCAGCAATTTAGTAAATTCACAAGTAAACACTGTATACAAGAGCTGACAGCTATTTTCTCAGGTGTGACTATTTTCCAAATGGAACTGCTGAGAGGATGAATCTTATTTTTAGACTTGGGAAGAAAAGAATATATGAAGAATATTCTTCAAATATTCTCAATTGCTCTCTGTATTTCATTCCCCTCGAGCACTCCTCACTGGTCCAGGCAGCCCTAGATGGGGCTGCTTTATAGTCGGATGGACCAGCAGAGGTTCAACAAACACTAACATGAAGCCATCTCTTGCTCTTGGTTCTGCTGTCTTAATCTGATCTTTCCTAGATACTACACTATCGTAATTCCTTGGTATGAACTTAACTATGCAAATACCACAATTATAATCTTGTTTGCAATACGACAACAAAATGGCAAACTGCCACACTTGACAATACTTGTTTACATCTTCTTCATTGCCGTTTTCTAATCCCCCAAACTAATCCCAAGTCAGTCATGCCCAGGAAACTGCCATGGGAAACAGCTGAGTCCATGCGTCAGCCACAGCCCCTCAATCAAACGACCTCTCTGCAGCCTCCGTAGCCAGGCCTGGATGCAGTTCCAGTCGCTGAAGGAATTCCAAATAGCAATAAAACAAAACCCAAATCTTTGCTAGCAAGAGCTGCCTCTCAGTGAATGGCAATTGCAGGTAACTGTCACCCTGTAGCTGCCATTGTACCTATGTAGACATTGTATATGCAATGTATACAGCATAAACCTAAAATTTAAGCTAAGGTTACAGATCCTTCCATAAAGACCTGGCAAAGACAGGAAAAGCACTCAGAGGGTACAATTAGATTGCCTCGACAAAGATCAGTACTAGAAATGGGATAAACTGCTGTTAAAACTGCCTTCAACACTTACCCCATGGCTTGAGTATGGCCCACTGAGAAAAGCCCACTTCAGAGAGCAGTGCTGGCTCGGCAGCCTCCTGCGTTAGGGAGCCTCTTGAATCAGACTTCACAGGGGACTTCAGACATACACCACTGGTGCTACTTAGGGTCATGAAGCCACATTTCTATTTGTGGTAGGAAAGAGCTGTCAGTGTGAACAGGAAAATACTGTTGACCAAAATCACAATGCTTCATTTAAACGTGTAGCGGGAAAGTCTATTCTGGAGTGAGTTTGTAGTGGGACAGTAAAAGGGAGGCGAGGTTGTGCTCTAAGCTCGCAACTCCAGAAAACTACAACCAAGGATGCCCAAAGCTGTCAGAAAAAAAAGCCTACCAATTAAGGCACAATTGGTGATAGCAAACATCATGGCTATGTTTAACCCCTGGCTGGCGAAGGTCCACAACAAAGGGATACAATTAATTAAACTTTGGGAGAAACTTAATTGATGAAAAAGATACCTAACTCGTTAGAGAGTTCCGCCTGGCAACTGTGGGGTAAAAGCATTATTCACACAAGGCCAGACTGAATAATCCACCAAACAATGATGAGACCTCAGCGTTTTTACAGTTAATCACAACTGTATTTCACAGACACTTAGGGCGGAGGAAAAGTTATATTGAGAAAATTACCAGCTCATATGATAAAGGTTAGCACATTAAGGAGACTTTTACATTTCATGCCAGCAGGTTTCATTCGGCTAGGTTTAAAAGCTGCATCATGCCCAAGTCTACACGGGGCCGGGTATCGTCCTCGCCGCAGCTCAGCTTCCATGTGCGCACAGGTGAGCCCTGCACGAGGGGATTCAGGTCTGCCCCGCAGCCCGGCAGGGGAAGGGATCAGCACCGCTCCGGGGGGGCGACTCACGGCAGCGGCCAAGGCTGTCGCTGCCAACCGCCGG